GGGATCTGTTGCAGACTTCTATCTGGCTGTGTCTCAGGTGTGAAAGACTTCAAACTTCATTACATAATCAGTCTCATGTGACTTGGTGGCACATTATGACACACATGCAAAGCTTCATCATAACAAATATGCAAGACCAACACTATGGTATTTAACAAGTTAACATCAGACTGTGAGAATCTCAACAAGGTTTGAACACAGCTTGAGAGTACAACATTCAGGCAGTGCAGAGGCAGTGTACATAGCTTTGTAGCACAGGTTAGCATAGCCACAGAGCACAGCCACTAATGTTGATTTGAAAGATTCTGGAATATTCCATTAGACAACACTGGAGTTTGGTGGAATAGTCTGGAAAATTCTATGACATTCTTTGAAATTTTAATAGTAGATTAGTAATCAGTAGCATAGCCACTAGTAGAGTAGTATATAAGGGGCCCATTTTCCCCTCTAATAAAATGAGCTCCAAGCCAAGTACAGAGAGCCCATTTCCATATTATCTAAGCTTGAGTGTGAATAAGTGAGTGGAGAATAAGAAGAGTGTTGAGAGAGCTCTTTTTAAACTCTCACCTCCATGATACTAAGTGACATACTGAGTGAAATATTAAGTTATTTCATTCCACTTTTGACACTGTTTCCCATGACATACAGAAGCATATTTGAGGCCACCATTGAGCCATACTTTTGACACTAGCTGGTACAGTCACTAATATTAAGAACTTGGCCCACTTAAGTCTGTCCTGCGTCACACTCATCGCATAGTGCTTGAGCAGCAGAAAGTAGGTTTCGAAGCCACGTATTAGTTCAGGCTGATCCATGTTAGAGGCTTAGTTTGATCTCTAATTGGTTTGTGAAGATAGGGAGTATCATTATAGCTCTGAGAATCATCGCATAGTCATACATCTGTATTCATTCAAGTCATAGCACTGCATCGCGCCAGTTATTGATTCTGTTCCCTCTTTAGTCACTGTGTACTTCCTTTGAGAACTCAACACACTTTTCCCACGAACAACCACGTTATCGACCGTTGGTATTTGTCTGAACCGTTGACCGTGGTAGAATACTGAAAATCGGTGATTTTACTGTTTTCACATCCTAGTAAGACACCGCCTGTTCTGCAAACCTCCTGGCTGGTTTCGACCACTCTTCATCGTCACAATCTTGATCCCACTCCTTAGGCCATCTTACGGGAGGTTTGATTTCCTTGTCTGATTTACTCCACCACCCGTGGAACTCAAACATCATGTCTCGGCAGTGCTCCTGTCGGTCGTGCCAGAATTCCAACAACTCAGTGGCCTCTTGTCTGTTCATCTGAGATGGCTCCCAAAGTTTTCTTCCATCAGGAAGATACAGCGGTGTATGGTCCAGAAGGACAGGAAACCTGTCATCCCCTATCTTCAGGACATATGTCTTGTCTTTTCTGCTTTTTTTACCAGGGTATCGTCAGAGTCCACTTCCTTGTCTTTTCCATCCAACATCAGTTAGTGAAGTTTGATTGCTAAAATGTACTCCAAGAGTGCTCACCAAACTGTTTGGACATGTAAGACTTCCATTCTGGCACTATATCCTTCCAGTCGTGAGTGTCGGTAAAACACTCTCTGTTACCAATTTCTCCATTAAAGTTGTGGCTGTCGGTTGATGAGACTTGATATTGTCCAAAATCTGCCGAGTTCATGACTTACCTTAATACCATCAGTTTTCCTTCTTCCCCTTTCCAAGCTGACAGTATGAATAGCCGCATTCCTGCCTTTTTGAACATCTCGGCAGCAACATGTCGCAGAATGTCCTCACTCTTTCGTCTCGCTGTATCCGCTTGAACATCGGGAGGAACTCCCTGTTTGTTCCACTCTACGGCCTGTTCGGTAGCTTCCTCCACCTCCACCTCAGTAAGAGACTTCACCATTTCCCCGAGATACTTAGAGTAATGCTTCATCATATCCTTTTCCCCAGCCTTTACACCAGTTTCATCCTCAATCTTCTTCAGAAGCTCCTTCTTCCAGAGAGTACCAACCACCATCTGGTATGTCCACTTTCTTCCGAGATTGATAGGAGCTTTTGCATCCTTCTTTTCACCATGGTTCTGTAATCATTTATGCTAGACCTGCATGCCGAACAAATATGAATAATTCAATTCCCCAAGTCGATTGAATCAGGCATGCACTCACAGTCTTTCTTGACCTCAGCTTGGCAGCATCCATCTTGGGTGTCTTCAACCGAGCCTCCATAGTGGCGTCCTTCCAGACCTTGTTTCTGTCTTTACCCAAAGCATTGTCCCATTGCTCCAGGTGGGACTCCAGAACAGCCACCTCCTCCCTATTCAGAGGCAGGTGCTTCTGAACTTCTTCTTCCGACTCCAAGTTGTTCCCTGACATGAATGAAATGAATAGCAAGATGGAAGGGAAGGAGAAGTGTCTGAGAAGAGGTTTAATTTAAACCAAAGTTGTTTCTTTAGTAATGGGTATTTTAGGGCATAGATAACTAATATCCATTACGCTGAAAATGTCCTGTTGCACAATCTGATGAATTATTGGCACTTCTGATCTTCAAGACATTTACCAACCAATTTGACTCATTTCACTAGCCAGTCAACTTCGGAATTCAGGTATAGAATCACACAGATTTTTGATTTTCTTCATCTTGCAGAGAAATTCCTTAAGCATCCCATGGGTCGGGATCGGATATTAAGTTACAGAAATCATGTAAGCGCCACCATTCATTTATCTCAAAGTTATGCCAGGACATCCTCATCGTGATTTGATTATTGTTGTATGAGAATGAGAAGGAACTTGTGGTACTGCAAACAGATTTGGAGTAGATGGTTGTGGTTGCTGTTGCTGGTATGCTCCAAGGCGTCCATATCAAGAATGGTATCCAAAACAATGATGGCCTTATGAGAGTGAGAAGGAACTTGCATGACCCAGAATGGATCAGGAGGAGATGACTGTGGTTGCCCCTGTTCTCCTAGAGGCCCTGGGTATTCCTTAGCAATTGAATTGAATGAATGTCACTCAATCCATCCAATGACTCTCGAATTGATCATCCTGATGACCCCTCAGCAATTCAATTAACTATAATCTTGTCTTTCCAAATTAATGTAAACCTTATGCATTTCAGTCTCAATTTAGCACAAAATATTATCATAAGAGCTAAGCTAGGGAATGTCACCTTTCTGTCACCATACCATCACCATCATCTCACAGACTCTGACATGGGCAGATCCAAGGCTATAGAGGTCACACCTCCTGGGACCATCCACCTTGTGAAATGGAGCCAGAAAAAAACTAGTCGAGGCATCAAAGGTCGGTGGGTGTCAGCTGAGCCTACAAAGACGAGCAAATCAGTTCATTTATTGCCAACCAAGTCTCCCACCAAGCAGCCTTCTGGTGGGTTGATGCATAGATTCTCTGAAGACTTTGAGACATGCTATGGCAACCAGGGCGGCATCAATTCCATGACACTTCCAAAGAGCAAGGAAAGTCAAATATTTACCTACATGAACATAACACTCACATCTGGGACCTATAGACTCCAAATGACTATCTCCGCCAGTGGAAATTTAGGGTGGAGGATTATCTGGATATGCTCCTGGAGTGAGAGGTGCCACCTCCAAATTGGGTGTGCTGCTTGTGCGATGGGGATGGAACATACAAGTGCCATAACTGTTTTGCCGAGCCAATATTCTGTACAAAGTGCTGCCGGACACAACATGCAAGGCTCCCTTTCTACCGGATGAGTCAATGGAATGAAGATTTCTTTGATAGAACTACACTCACTAAGCTAGGTGTAGAGATCCATCTCGGTCATGGAGGACAGCCTTGCCCCAACCATAATTGGGAATGGGAGGATACAGATGACGAGGACCGGTATACTGCATCTTTAACTGCCGGAATGCTGGGTGTAGCGAAAGCAGCAGACGGACATGGTGATTGGCGATGCATAGAACCATATGCGACAGCAGAAGAGGATGTTTTTTTAGATTCAGAGCCTGCAGCTGCGTTCCCAGACTTGCCCGAGGTAAATGCAGCACAGATCGGCAGGACCACAATCACGATTGTTGACTCTTTGGGTGTTGACACATCATCTATTCAGTATTGTCAATACATGGGCGCCCAAACTCCAGACAAACAGCTGTTTCAAATTGGACTGTTTGCGGCATCATTCACCTGCCCGAAGACAGCATTTACTTTTGCTTTGTTAGACAATTTCATCTTGGACAATTTAGAGTGCAGTGTTAGTTATATGATCATTCACCTCTACAGTACGCATTTCTATGTCTTTTATGTGTCTAACCTTGCCATTTCACTTACGGTATCATTCCATACACTTTGCTACCTATTTACATGACTTCCTGATCTCCCTAGGACGTCCCTAGGTCGAGTTATTACTTACCCTTTGATTGTGGCTTGTCTGTTTACATTTGTTTACCATACGTCGCCCATATCCCAGAGTCCAGTGCTGCCTCTTTGGCAACTTACTCTGGACTCTAGGTACAGTACAACTTCACTATACCATTCAATAGATCGGCAACTTACTCTGGACTCTAGTCTGATCTCTTCTGGTCTCTCAGTAGCCTCTAGAAGCGGCCCACTTCACTCCCATCTTAACACCTAGGCCCAATCCTCCACGCACACCACCCACGTAGTACATGCCATCCGGTTCCTCATTGAAAGGTAAATTGACATGGCCACTGATCAATGTCAATGCACCAGTGGCGGCACCTTCATTTTCCGTCAGTAGTAAGTTGGGATGTGGGTTCTCTGCAAGCTGTACAGCAGACAGCACATTCCTATATACAGTCCAAACTGATGACCGAGTCACTGCGGGGCGCCCCATTGCATCATAACAATGCTCAATAAAGTCGCCAAGCATAGGTGGGACAAGGTCAAATACTGGGTTGGAAGCATCAATATAGACGTTGCGAATGTAGTCGATGCCCTTGTGATCTATAGAAGCCTAGTTGGCAATATAAGGGCATAGGACCATAAGACAAGCGCTACGTACATTTGGAGAGTATCCGCTGAGTCGTACCAACCTTCAATGACACCTTCGTCCAGCAAATTCTCGAAGCCAGGTGTGAACCTGCACCGGAGTTGTGACCAAGTGATTTCCGGCATTACGTTTTTCTTCGTGCGCATCCAACGATGTTGCAGAGTTCCTTGCAGGGTTGGGTCATAGCGCTGGCGAAGAAACGTCTGTGCGTTTGCAATGCCATAATTTTTGGTCCCTAAATCGGATTGAGTGATCAGCGGCATATCTAGCACTTGCGTCGTCAGTGAAGTATTTACAAATGGCATATCACTCACGGCCAAGTTCTGCGATTGTATCGAGATAGTAGTTGAGGATTAACTGTGGGTTTCTGTTAGAATGCCAAACTTGGATGGTCAACGGCAAAGAGATCGTTAACGCCAGCTGCCCAGAAGCGCTTTCATTTCAGTTTTCTGGCCTTACGTTGTCACACTAGTTCTGGTTCATACACAGCAAAGTAAGACATCATGACCAATCTATTATAGTCACGGTTGCGATGTCAGTCTTTGACAAACAGATCGACTTGACAAAATTACCTAGATACACTCATACTCTTTTCGTGAAAGAGCAGACTGATCATCTCTCGTGTTCCGGCGTGAGGGTACATCTTGCAAATTTCCGTCACAGCTTCGTGGATGTTTCTATAGTATGACCCTGCTGGCGCGACCGTTCAAGGCCCATGTCCACACAGATTTGACGAAACTTTGTGAGTCTAGGATAGTTATCAGTTCAGAACATGAGCAATTAAGTCAGCTAATCATAAATATTGAAATGTTTTTGTAAAGCCTGGACGATTTCTTTGTCGTTGAGCCGTGTCTTCCAATAGCGTAGTATATGAGGTGCAAGTTCATCTAAGGGGGCTAGGATGAAGATCAAAATCAGGGAGTGGTATTGAAGCAAATGCACCACACTTATGTGTGGGTTTATGCTGGTTGGGCATGATAAGGGGTGCAGGACGGTATGGTCCCACTTTACGATGCTGTTATATTTATTATCTCCATAAAGTCACAGTAAAGCCTCCGCTTCAACTTTCAACTTGTGAAGTACGTTTATAGGTGTGATACTTACCTTGTTTGGACTCCTTGTTCTGACTTGCGCACTGGTTAAGGTGGATATCACTCAACTTGCAAGGTATGTCCATAGGTACTGTAAAAGACTTACCTTGTTCTGACTTCAAATTGTGCAGTTAAGGTCCTTGCCGACTCCTCGGATCACATGCGCATTGCGCATCGCCTCTTTCATGCTGCACTTCCATGCCTTTCATTGGTGTTAGACCCTCTTTCAATCCTCCCATGCAGATCGCCCCATTGATGCCGCAAACAACCTCAGGCTTCACCACTCCGGCTTCACCACATGCTCACACTGAGGCTCTCACTTATTCTGAGTAACTGATGTCCAGTAGGTGTTCTCACTTGGCGCTCTAATGCTCTCATTTTGCTAACTAGGTATGGCCACAGAGGCTCTGACCGCTCTGGCGCTCTTACTCGTTCTGAGCAACTGACCATATTTAATCCTGCATTCCGTATTTAATCCTGCATTGAAATATATTGTGTCTCACCTTTATCGTGTCTGTCCTCATCTCACACCTTCAACATTCATGGCCTCCTATGAACTTGCGTCACAGTTCACTGAAGATGTGTTTGCCAAAGAAGATCTCATTTGTGAATGTTCTGCCTGTGCTGCAAAGATTTTGAAGGGAGATCTGTGTTTCTACATTGCGACAATCGTCATTGGCCAACGCGGGCGCTTTGTTTGCACAACTTGTCACCAGCACTATCAAGGCAAAGCAGCAACATCAATGAGGCCCACTGCTCAGCATCCGAACCCTCAAGTCAATGCTCAAGTTATCCGGCAAAATATCAATGCTGCATGGAGACCAGGTTTGATTGATTTCATACTCGCGTCCATTTTACGTTTACTGATGTGATCTCTCAGCGGTAGCTCAGCAGCCGCCACCACATGTAGTGGCTACTAGTGCTGGGCCAGATATAGCTGTTGTTAAGATGGGAGTGAAGTGGGCTGCTTCTAGAGGCTACTGAGAGACCAGAAGAGATCAGACTAGAGTCCAGAGTAAGTTGCCAAAGAGGCAGTAAGCACTGGACTCTGGGATATGGGCGACATATGGTAAACAAATGTAAACAGACAAGCCACAATCAAAGGGTAAGTAATAACTCGACCTAGGGACGTCCTAGGGAGATCAGGAAGTCATGTAAATAGGTAGCAAAGTGTATGGAATGATACCGTAAATGAAATGGCAAGGTTAGACACATAAAAGACATAGAAATGTGTACTGTAGAGGTGAATAATCATATAACTAACAGCTGTCCCTTCTAGCTGGGCTCAGCCTGGCTACTCAGTGAACCATGCACAATATGGTGCTGAACGAGAACACTGGGCTAAGGAAGTATATGCATTGACGGACCCGGACTCATCACACTTTCGCTGGATAACATCTTGCTGAAGATCCAAGCTTTTGCGACAGGCTTTCCATGGTGCCAGGACCAATTCATCATTCGAGATGGCGGATGGGTTGATTTATCAACCCATCCGCCACGTCAGCCTTATTTTTACTCCCAATGCATGCAGGCAACTCGCAAAGGCTTGCGCGCTATGACATTCAAGTCAAAACAATTTTTATTGTATGTCGTTGTGCCCACGGCTCAATGGGAGGACTATGAAACGTGGCTTGAAAAAGCTGAAGAGGTTTGTATTTTTCAATTATACGATGCTGGTACATACTTACCAAAAAATCTATACCCTTAGGAACGATTCAGCATGTGTTCACGATCCGAGCCACTCTTTCTACCTTCTGCAACAAGGAGCGTCCAATCAAGCGCGCTGGCTGTGGCTTCTGAGCCGCTCTTTCTACCTTCTATGACAAGGAGCATCCATTCCAGCATCCATTCGAGTGCGCTGGCTGTGGCTATGTATGAGAGAAAGTGTATAGAGTCGTACAGTGCTGAAAGAGGCTAATAATAGTACAGTTGGGTATGAGTGATTGTAGTTGACCCCAGTTACAAGAATGTGTGATGTGAATCATCGATGACAGGTAAACTAAGAGGACTCAGAAGAAGAGCTGACCTGATGTCATACCTGTGGTAAGTGTGAGTATACAGTTGAGAATGGAAAGAGCACACATATGATGAAGGAATCCATGTGAACTCTGCTGTGCAGGTGAGGCGTTGCAGAGGAGATGATGGAGGGTCTGATGATGGAAGGTTGAGTTCGACACATTTATTGAGAGGAGCAATGTAGTGAATGGTCATGAGTGAATCTGGCATAGCAAAAAAACCTTGATGTTGTTCAAAGTTCAAGCAATCTTGATTGGGCACTGTTATCTTCACCAGCACGTCTGATAGTTTTATCACAGCTTCACCCAGTGATGGGTTGTTCTCCACCTGAAGAAAGTGCCACTAATGCATCACCAGCTGTAGACAGTCTCCAAACATCTCATTTGACATGTGTTCCATAGCTTTCCATATAGAAGGTAATAAATTGCAGAACACAGCATTGATAGGTCCTCCCTCATCATCTTCTATGTCGAGATCCATATTGACCATTTGGCTAAGCATAGCTTTAATGATACGAGGGTAATCAAGCAAGCCTATCTTGATGTTGGTATACTGTGCCATGACATCGTGCAAGACCTGGGTGAAGTCAATATGGGACAATGGGATTCCACGACAAACGAAAGCAAAGTTATGGCTTTTGGGAGGTGGGGTTGGGATAATCTTAAGGAGTTCTTGCTTGAGCATGCAAATCAGTTCAATAAGGTATATGACCAAATAAGTCAGGCAATAAGGCATGAAACAGGGAATGATATGAACTCCAGTAAAGGTGTCGGTCGGTGCTATGATAGAGTAGAGCGTGTGATGTATCAAGCCATTTGTAGATAGATGCTGATAGGAGTCGGTGAGAATACTAGAGTGTGATGCAATGCAACACTGACTGAATCTGGGCTGTAGTCGTCCTGATTAAGCACAAACATAAAATCATTTAAATGCGACAGGGTTGTCAAATACATTGCTCCACAGCATATTGAGATGGTATCCAAAAGGGTTTTCTGGTGAAGTAAGAAATGAATACCCAAAGTCTGTGCAGCTGAGGTCGTCCTTGGGCCATTTGGTTGAGTCTGTAGAGTCAAATGACTCTTGTACAATACTGTCAAACTCTGACAAATCAAAGCCCTGGAGAATTTTAGACAACACATCTTCTGAATGCCTGAATAGCGAGTCTATCATCATCATCGTGGAGTTGATGGTGAGCTTGGAGCCTCGAACCACCAGTGCATTATTGGATGCATTCCATTGCACAAGTGATAGCGGTGCCCTAGAATACAAAAAAAGGGGTGATGATGCAGAACTATTCGAGCAGTAGCCATAATATATACCCAGTGCTATCAGTCAGATAGTAAAATAACACTTCATGGTATGCCCTGAAATATGACAGGCAACTAGTGAAGGAAAGGTCACAAGACACCTAAAAGGCATTAAATTGGGGAAGGCTGTATGTGAAATGCAGCAGGCTCTTTTTGTTTTGTATGAAGAGACTCGGAAGGGCCAACGATTATTTGGGGAGGGTGTTAGGATCTGTAAAGTTGTTCATAGATGCTTGGACTTATGTGATGCTGCAGTATTTCATTGTTGTCATCATAGATGGACAGTACATGATGGAGCACATGAACAAGTGATTCCTCGATAGAAAAAATTGATTGCATAGCTGTGGTATGTTGATTCGTAATGTTAATACTGTGGGTCGAGGATGCAGCTGTGACTGGCTGAGAAAGTGGTGGTGGTTCGATGCCTTTGAGGATGGGTGACAAAGAATGCATAGATGAGATAGAACTCTCAGAATTGAACGAGTGGGCGATTAGTGCCATTTCATGCCAATCCAGGTCATCAATGACATTGGTTAAGTTCAGTGACTGCTTGTCTGGAGCTTCATCTTCAACAGCTCCATCCTCACACATATCATCAAGCCACTCCATCTCTACTTATGCATCAAAGTGTTTGACTTCTATGAACTGGGCACTGGAATGCACTAGCGACCTGTCAGGGTGAGAAGTAGAGAACTCAGACTCGTCCTTGAAGTCAAATAATACATCAGACTCGGAGGGGTCATAACGGCTTTTTGGAGGTATATGTCACATATCGAGAGAATTTTGTGTTTGTGCTTCGTTAAGAGTGAGTTCTTAAAAAAATGTGGGGACAACCTTGAGAATCAGGGTCACTATCCAGACATTGAGGTGAGGGAGTTGTCTGTAGTGTTAATATGCATAGAAGTAACAATGTTTGATTCGGCCATTGAATGATTCGAGGTGTAGAGTCTGCCAGTCGAATTGGCCCCTGTGTCTG